TTCCCCGACTTGGGGGGTGGGGGGGCGTACTCATTTGTTGCTTGCCTTAGTCACTTGACCATTGACCACGCGTCCCTTTCGAGACGGAGCACCGTTCCTACCCCTACTGCGGGGGGAGGGGGGGGGAGGGGGACGCATGCACACGAGGCCTCCTTGCCCTACAACCAACCGCTGGATCTTCCAGACAACAGCGTAACCAAGGAGAATGAGACCACCAGGCCGGCGTAGAGAAGATAAAAAAAAAAAGGAAGGAAAAACAACAAAGGTAAGACAAAACTTTTTTTGCTCGCCTGATCAGATCTCCGCCTGCCACGTTTGTGCCCAGCAATGCCTCCCGAGGAACGTTCTTCATCATCCGGACGGTTCGGGCTCATATCGTAGACCTTGGGAGGCCTGACCGGTAGCGGGATGGTTGATGGGACGGGCACGTGCACGGGAAAAGCAAGAACCGGACCCACGATTGTTCTTCAGGCTTGTTCTTGTGGCTGGTGCCTTTGGGCGGGGAGGGTCGCTCGAAAAATTAAATCCTGCGTTGTGATTTCGACACACTACTTGATCCGAACCGAACGAAACTTGTCGTGCAGACCGCCGACCTCAACAACAACGACAACACCACCACCACCAACGACGACGACGACAACAACGACAACAACAGCAACAACGACAACGACAACGACAACGACAACGACAACGACAACGACAACGACAACGACAACGACAACGACAACGAAAAACGATACTACCAAACCAAACGCCAGCATCTTCTCCCCACCCACCCACCTCCCGGCTGGCATGGCGATGACCGAGCTGCTCGGAGAGCTGCTAACGGGGGAGACCATCGCCATTGCCTTGCTCATCATCTTCTTGCCCCTGCGGAAAGCTGCCCCGGGAACGTTACGACGCCTCTGGTCCCCGCTCACGAGAACAATCACTTCCAGAAGGCCCTTGCTCTTGGCCTGAAAAAAAAAGAAGTGGCGGCGCGGGGGGGCACCCGTGACTAAAAAAAAAAAACGACCCAAGGTGGCGTGGATGCCGCGGCGAACGTTCGTTGTGTAGCGCCTGCAATAGCCGTGAGCCGTGAGTGTTGGCAGTAGAGACGCTCCTCGTGTGTCCTGGACACCAAGTAACAGGGTTTGAAATTAAGCAGGTCTATGTCGAGAGATTTGACCGTCGTTCTTGGCGCTGTTGCTGCTGTTCTGTGTCTACCTCCCTGCTGCACCTGGTGGTTTGCTGCACGACACATATCAATACCTGTACAAAAACAGAACAAAACGTGCAGCTGGTGCAGTCCGGCCTTCTGACCCATTTCAGAAAGGGGCATGAACATCAAACACGAATGAAAAAAAACGTTCTCACGAAACAAAAGGGTCTCCCGAGTTCTTGCGAGATGATCGTACTTCGAAGGACGCGTGGATGAGGCACATTCGCGCGCATGTCACTGTCGTTCATAACCTAACCTATGCCCGTGGAGAAGAAAGGGGCGAGCTTCGCAATCATGGGCAGTAGTTTTGTTGCTGCTTTGCGCCGGAGCCGAGCACAGCGTAAACCGTTGAAAACACCAAGTTCCCAAAACTGTCGATCCCGCGCAACGCTCGCCGCGTGGAAGCTTACGGGGCCAAATGCCACAGCCTGCGGGGCACAACAGAACGAACGAAACAAAAGGAAAGCTCGCCTGCATCTCCGTAATCTCTTCTGACCCGTATAGCTCCGCCTCACTCATGCTCTGCCAGATCAGGCACAGCCGGGACCTTGTAGAGTGAGCCTGGTCCCTGTTTCGTAAGCACGACGATTGATTGATAAGCACAACGATTGATTCATGATTGAGTTCGTTTAGTATAGCAAGTATAGCAAGCATAGCAAGCATAGCAAGCATAGCAAGCATAGCAAGCATAGCAAGCACAGCAAGCACAGCAAGCATTGTGCAACAAGAACCGACAAGAGGATGAACGTTTTTGTTGTTTCAGTATTGGTTGTTGTGGTTGTATTTTTCACATAAAATATCGTTCGGTCTGTGCTTGGAGGTACCTTCTAATGCCCGGAATGGTCCAGCTGGCGCGGACACCTTCCGTGGCCACAGCAGGCCAACCACTACCCAAAAGGGAACGCCTTTCTAGAAATCAAATAATCGGTCAACACCCAAGGCAAACGATTACACACATATCTGCGCCCATCAGCAAACCAAAAGGCATGCATAGGAGAGAAGAACCATTCGCAGCCACTACTACTCCTACAGAAAAACACGGCACCCCGGTAAGCAAAAATCTTCTCCGCAACGGAAGGACACGCACGGTAGACTGCTGTACCTGGGAAGGGCGAGGTAGTCTCGAATTTGTTGCACCACTGCATTCAAGTCGACCATCGTGTGCGCGTGTGTGTTGAGGTCGATGTTGATTGGAAGCATCGGTGATGATGATCACACGAATTTTCAAGCCCGGCGCACGTGTTGCAGTCGAGGGTACGTGTCCACGAGGAGAGATTCCCATGTTCGAATTCCATACCATGGCCAGGTTGTCGAGGTGAGGAGTGGTTGACCCGTGTTCGCGATGGTCACCCACGGAAGTCGTCCCGGAAACATTTGGCGGAAGACAAGTACGGTGTTGTTTGAGTGTCACCCGACACACAAGGAAACACAAGCCGAGCGACAAAGGATAGGGTCACACGGCGCGCGCGGGGGGGGGGGGGGGCTCCGTGAAGGTCGTAGGAGACAAAGATGGTGCCGGTAATTTTCGGGGTGTTGCATAGCACAGAGCGCGCCACGACCTCAACAAGGGGGTTAAGAACCTCAAGACTAAAAAAAATACCCATGGCCAAAGAAACTTGACTACAAGAAAAGGTGCTCAGCCAAGAGGCCAGCACTAAACCCTACTTTGTCGTACGAATAGTTCATCTTGGGATACCTCTACCTTCACACAAGAAATTAAGAACCATGCCCCAGGTAAAACAAGAGGGCATTCAAGGCCCCTTTCTCCAGCATGTGTCAGACAATTTTCCCTGGCTTGTTTCGCATTTTTTTTTTTACACGAGGCAGCCCTTACCCAGGAAAAAAACAGCCACCAAAAACATTGCCAAGGCACAAAAAAACTGCTACGCAACGTACTCGGATTGACGCCGGTGCCGGCGGCGATCATGACGACGTTGCGGTGGGCGGGCGGCGGCACGAGCTTGGTGATGATGAAGGGGCCCTGCAGCTGGATCGCCGGATTGTCCGTGTCCTGTGTGCACGTGTGGTATGGTATGCAGCCACCGTCACGAGAAGAGGAGAAAGGAGAGAGGAAACGAACGTAGAAGCAACACGAGAGGGTCCACGAGGAAATCACCACGGAAGAACGCGGGGAAAAAAAGTCGCAACAAGGCAGAGCGACGAGAAACACAGATATTGGTTGATTTTTCACCAATGCCAGGATTACGGGGAGTGCTATACACCGGCAGACAGGCAGACAGACAGACAGACAGACAGACAGACAGACAGACAGACAGACAGACAGACAGACAGACAAAAACAAAAAAATACACCAAGGAGATAGACAGAACAGACGAGACAACACAAATACAAACCTTACCTTCGACAGTTTCTCCAGAAGTTGGCTCATGGCCCCGTCGTGGTAAAGCCGGATCCTCATCTCAATGCACAGCACCCCCTCCGAGGTCTCCTGCGCGGGCACGACTCTGGGAGGAGTCGCCCCCTTGCCGCTCCCGTCCTTGCCGTCGACAAATCCCTGAACCCGCACGGCGTACGCGTTGTAGGCCCTCTGGATCACGCCCTGCGTTTATGGCAGGCAGAGCCGGGCGGGTGGCCACCCAGCCGGACGCAACGGGGAAAGGGTCAGAAAGGGAGGGAGCACCGTCACCGAAGAGCGATCATGGGACAGCAGTTGTATCATCCAGCAGCGGGTGTCCCCTCGACTCTCTAACTGATTTGCTGTAAATACTTCACTCAACACGCATCCCTTCGATTGGGATACTGTAGCATCTCGATGAACGCAGGGAGTGTCTTTCTTTATCGTTGTGTAGATATTGCACAGCACCAGTCAGGGCAAAGCGCCTCCGCCGCCGCAGCAGCAGCAGGCAGCAAACGCGACAATCATCGGAAACATGCCCGTGTCTTGAAATGGTGTTGAGACGACCCTCGTTCTGGCCGCACAGATCCCTTGGGCTAAGTAAGTATGTTATATTGTACACTCTATGAGAAACCATGTGTTTTGTGTGTGTTTTCGTCCTATTTACTACCGGTATGGCGAAAGTCCCCCCGTTTTTCGTGGTGAAACGTGTACTACACTCTTCAGTGTATGTAGAGTACTACACTTTTCAGTGAATTTCTTTCGTACAACTACGACCATCCAGGGTCACAAAAGAGGGGGGTAAACACTGGGGCTTTTTTCTTCTTTTTATTTTGTTTTCGTGCCCCACCTTCCTTTTAGGGTGCGTGGTGAATTTTGCTTTTTTATCCATAGCTGTGAAAAAAAGGTGTCAACAACCGAGGAGGACTGCAGTACAGAACAACCAAAAACGTCGCACCTTTCCTGGAACCTGACCGGGCATGTGGAAGTGGCAAACCCCGTGGATTGTTTCGACCTGTTTGGGCGGCAAAGCCGACGTTGCCCCAAGGGGGGGGGGGGGGGGGGAAGTAGAACGCAAGGCGAGTAGGAGGGGGCAATAAGGTAAACAGGAGAAAAATGCAGGAAGGGTAGAGGAAGGAGGGGGATTGACCGCTACATACTTTTGTTCGCCGATTCGGAACGCCAATTGCAACGAAAAAAAAAAAAAGGACAAAACGACTCATCCGTGGATGGGGACGATTGCTGTGTTACACTTCCGAGGTAGAGTCGTGGTCCCGGTTTAGCGGTCCCCTGTTCAGCGGGATGCCGTCAATATCGTTTCAAACTACCGTGGCTGCACCTCCTACTGCCAATCGGGTTCAGCGGCGATGCCCTCAATAGCGGTAACAACATTTGACACGATGGACCGCTACACCGGGACCACGTCTACACGAAAAAAAAAGAAGAGAACAACACACATGAAAATATGTATGTCCAAATAGACAGATGCAGATTATAGGTTGGCTTACCAGGGCCTGAGCCTGCCCGGGGCACGAGAAGATGTAGCGGTACGTCGGTCGCTTGGTGAAGAGCAGGCCGCGGCCAATCGGGCTGTCCGTGCCCATCTTCTCGCGGAACAGAAGGGGGCAGACGTGGAACCGTTGCAGCAGCTTCTTGCTGGACCACGTCCGCTTCAACGCCGCGGGACCAGCACCAGGCTGCAAGAAAGTGTGGGGGGGAAACACGGAGGAGATACGGGGGTGGGGGGTGGGGGGTGGGGGGTACTCATAGTCGTGCATGCCGTAGTCGTTAGACCATTGACCTCACCCGTCGGGGGGGGTATACGGGTGAGCAACGACAGCACGATGCGTAGCTTTGGCTTCCTGCGCGGAAGAAGAAAAACGGCTTGTCTCTGGGGATGGAGCTGGACTGCCTGCCTTTTGTCTCCTGGACAGACGACACCAACCACCACCACCACAACAACAACACCACCACCACAACAACAACACCACAACCACCACAACAACAACAACAACACCACCACCACAACAACAACACCACCACCACAACAACAACAACACCACCACCACCACCACAACAACAACAACCACCACCACAACAACAACACCAGCGTGAAAACAGGGAATCGTCTTTGACAGACGTTACAGGTAGGGGGAGATTGTACCCTCCTTAAGGGTGTATCTCCAAAAAAAGCCATGGTACTTAGCCACAACAAACGGCACCGCTCGCTTACCGAGACCACGGGCACACCGAACGTCGTGACTCCCGCTCCGGCTGAGGGCGCCGAAGGGCCGTCGGGAACGACAGCGAGTTCGTTGGCCTTGGCCGCCTTGGTTTCCTGGGGAGGGGAGGGGAGGAACGGGGCGGCAAAGGTTAGGACGGCAAGCAAGCATGCAAGCGTTGTTCGCGGGATGGGGGCTACAATGTTGATGATGGTTCAGGGTCTCTCGACAGCGTTGTTTGCGGCTTGCGGCTTGAGACCAAGCGAGGCTTCTGCTGTACGTGTAACCACCATTTTCAGTACCACCTTGTCGAGATGCAGCCGCAACCGCCTCCCGTACGCAAAGCACTTTCGCCACAACGAGTAACAAGGTTTTGCAAGTAAGTACGTAATACATTTTTTTCATTGCAACATGTTGCCGCAACCGACTCCGGGATACGCAAAGTACTTTCGCAGCAACGAATAAAACAACGCTACAGTACATAGCAGACACACACAGAGACACGCGTCTTTCCTCGGTTGTTTTGCAACATGCATAATACCACAGGCCAGAAGCAAACAACGACAACAACAACAACAACAACAACAAAATACACGAAAACTCTCACCAGGTCGAACGTGCGGCCAGCAGTCCCCCTCGCCTGCATCAATACCGCCTTCCCGGCGATGCGGAAAGCCCGATTAGGTTCCTTGCCGCCGGCGGCGGCTTGCGTCTCCTCCCCTGCTGCTCCCGCCTTTCTCACGCTCTTGTCTTTTTCCTCCTCCTCCTCCTCCTCATCTCCTTCCTCCTCTTCCTCGATGTAACCAACCACGA